TGTATAAAACTGGAGAACTAAAAAAGGGTGCTTACATGTCATTTACTTCGCAATGGAAATAAAAAAATTACAATTCTATTTTTATTTCAATGAATTTTATTATATCAGTACCTATTCAGATAGCATTATTATATTAGTTTAAATTAGTTTTTTTTTTTCAATAAATTTTCGACATTATAACCAATAATGATAAGCGTCTATTTAAAATGTAAAACAACTTCAAATAGACGGTGTTACGAATAAATAAAATGAATGAACTCATAAATGATTTAATTTTAATGTCCCCTGATAGCTCTAATGGTAATTTAATAGACGAGGTCATTTCCGTACACAATTAAAGCATTGTCTCCGTCATATTCAAATTTACCATATTTTGGAAACCTTAGATTTTCAGTAAATTCTTCAGAAATACATTTGCATACCATTTTAAACAATGCATTAATGTTTGTTCTTAATTTTGTTCATTACGCTTGGCTATTGAGAACAGCATAGTAATTTAAGCTTCATTACGAATGTTTAAGCAACACTATTTGTTAGAGTTTTATAGATTTACAGCCATACTAGATACAATTAAAATATGGCTAGAAATGATAATGATGAACTGTGGAATGATCTATCGTCGCCGTGTCTCCACTGGTGTTGTGGGTGTCCATGGGCGGCGCTGATCGCTTACCAACAAAAGGATAGTTTAATTTTGGAGGTAAAAATTATACAATATAACAACCAATAATATAACAACACCAACGTTCTACCAGTTATTTTAAAGGGAGAACCTAATGCCATATCTATACTACTGGGTGGATCGCGGAGAACCTAACGGGTAACCGGGGCTCCGGCTCGACGTGCAGGAGAAGGAACGGGGTGGTTTTTAGTCAGTAAGAGTCTGACACTCCCTCCTGCCTCACCCAAGCGGGAGCAGCCATTCGATGATTTTCCCCCCTTAAAAAAATACTACTGGGTGGAATTATTCTAAAGATTATATCAACAATTCAATATTTTTTCTGGCCTGGGAGCACGAGCTAATTTAGTTTTTTTTGTGTGCTTGTCCCATATTAAAAATTACTAACTTAGTAGATAATTAATAAGTAGGTAGGTATGTACTTACACAATACTACATAAACATGTAAATGTTCATTTTTTAAAAACTTATTATATTTTTACTCTTTGACAATGTAATTCTACTATCGATAGTGAAGAAGAAAATTGAAAATAATATAAGTATAATCAGATATTGAAAGAATGGCATGTCTCTTGCATTTAAATCCATGTGTTTAGTATTTTATTTTGTACATAATGGATTTAGAAAATAGAATTTAGATTTTTCCAAATAGCAATTCTCCGGCTGTTTTGTCTGCATATTTCTTTGAATATAAAAAGGTTTTTTAAATAATGCCATCATAAGGAATCTTTCACAACAGAACTCACACTTACCTATGCATTTTTCATTACACACCGTGAACCTTATTTCGTTATCGTACCGAAGTTTCTGTCTCAGTAATACAATAGTTTTACAAAAAAATAAAATAGTTCAAAACAAAAAATAACTGGTGAACCGTTGCAGAAAGCAAACTTCGCAAGAAGAAGAAGAAAAGATCATGCCATGTAATTCTCGAAGAGGTATTTTTTTTTTTTAAAGGGGGGAAAATCATCGAATGACTACTCCCGCCTGGGTGAGGCGGGAGGGAGTGTCAGACTCTTACTGACTAAAAACCACCCCGTTCCTTCTCCTGCACGTCGAGCCGGAGCCCCGGTTACCCGTTAGGTTCTCCGCGACCTCGAAGAGGTATGAGTGGCCACTGCTGACGAAAGGCCTCTTGTCGCACGCAGAAGGATTGAGCATTATTAACCACGCTTGCTCAATGCGGGTTGGCGATTACAAACTTAAGATTAAAAATGGTAAGCCCAGGTTTCCTAACGATGTTGTCCTGCACCGATTATCAGTGGTGTCTAGATAATCTTAGAAAGTACATTAACTCGGAAAAAATTACATTTATACTTGAATAAAACGTTAACTACCTACTATATTATCGTGTTTGTTAAGAATGCATGCATTTGTCAAACGACGCATTGTGGACAGTAAACCTTACAAAAATTCGTAAATGGAACTTAACAGTTTGTGAATATAACTAGCTAATGTTATTTACATTGTGCTTTATACAATAGTAAATAGAATAGTGAATACAATGGCAGCCTGTAATCATTTTACAAGTAAGCAATAGTCTTGTTTCATTATAATAACATTTTGAGTATATTTTAATTATAGTTTATTCATTCTCATCATATCCGATTTACGTAATACATCTAAGTGTGAGAGAGCCATGCTTCGGCACGAATGGGCCGGCTCGACCAGAGTAATACCACGCGACACTACACGGCGACGCCAATTGGGATGTCGACAGGGTATGAAAATTAAAAATCTAATTAGTCCGTAAGTTAGGTAATTAAAAAATATTAGACACGTATTTTTTTATTTTGTCGTATAATAAAACAATACTTAGATAAAACGAATCAAAGTTTAGGAGTGGGGGCTAAAACGTCATTTCTACGTATAAAATGTACATAAAAGTGACGTCACGCGTAATTTCAAATCAATATATCGTCGAAAGTATTCGTTTCTGTAAGAAAATAAAAAATACGTGTGTAATTATTTAAAATAATCTACCAGACGGACATTAAAATAAAAATTAGTCGTCTACCCTATTGCTTACCGGCAGTTCGTTTACCGGTTTATACCATAAAAAATATATTATGTAGGTATATCTGGTACTTATGTTTTTCCTAATACTAACAACACAAATTAAATTTATGAACGTAGGTAGATTTAAATTAAATTAAGAGACATCGTCTGGTTAATGATAATGCGATAATAATTGACGCCATATTACATAATTCTGATTACCTACATTTTTACCAAATTATACACAACTAATACTATTTATAGTTCTTCAGACTTTGGTATATTGAGTTGCAAATTAAACAAATATTTTTTGTGAATACTTATGACAAATTACTCATACATCTAAATTGACCATTTGTTAGTTTATCGTAGTTGCGGTTTCTATTAAATAAATGAGTCTCCCTACTCCCTTTTAACTGTACCACTCATGCTTCTGAGTTCTATCCCTCTATTAGGTACTGGATTTCAAAGTATTCAATACTTTTTTTATAATTAGAAATGTGTCATAATTTAGCCCCTTTCTTTTGGTGGTAAGCGATGGAACACGTCTACCCATGTGCAACCTATCACTCAAACGAGAGACCTAACCCGGGAATACGATAGTTGAAAACTATATCAAATTCAATACTTTTATCGAAATATCAAAAACGATACCTTTCTATGAATTTTGTATTTAAATCGCAACATACGATGACGTCAATAAATTTTTGCGTCAAATAAACCAATTATATCATGAAAATTTACTAGAGTAGTTAAAAAATGAACCATATCGTCACATCAATGAATAAAAGTATTTTTAATGGCATAAACCGGTAAACGAGTAGACGGATCACCTGGTGGTAAGCAATCAGCGTCGCCCATGGACACCTGGAACACCATAGAGGCGTTACAAATGCGTTACCTGCCTTTTGGGGATTAGGAGTTCGAGGATCGTTGAGGATTCAGGGATTGGGGAGATTGGGGAAGGGGAGAGTAATTGGACCTCCGATAACCTCACTCACACGACAAAACACAACGCAAGTGTTGCTTCATGCCGGTTTTCTGTGAGGCCGTGTCACTGTACCACTCCGGTCGAGCCGGCCCATTTGTGCCGAAGTATGGCTCTCCTACACTTGTAGGCCCAGATTGTATTGAATAGTCAAAATAATTTATTTCTTACCTAGGAAACTACCCGATTATATTGTTAGATTGTCTTTAGTTTTATTGATCGCGTTTAGATAGATTACACATCAGACCCAGACTCGCTAAATGAATTTAATTTTGTGTGCGACTGACTAGCCGTTCAGCCAGTAAACCAACTGTATTGTCGGTCACTTTATTATGAGAGATAACAAGTAATTATAGTGATAGGAACCACAGAACTGACCATTTGTTTACAAATGTTTTGTTTACAACTTTATCTTTTTTCAGAAGCATACAATATTTGTTTTTGTACAATGTTTAAATAAATAAATGTTATTGTTTTCCTTGAATTTATTACGATATTTTTTTCCTTTTAGATACATATGTATACACATTTTGATATACTTACCGCAAATTGTCTTTGACAGTAAAGGCCGGTTCATACTAGTCTTCTTAAAAATATGTAGGTACTTCGAAATAATTTAAATATTTTTTGGACATTCATATTTCTCTTTATGTTCCAAGTGTGGGAGAGCCGACGTGAAACAACGCTTGCGTAGTCTTTCGTCATGTGAGTGAGGTTACCGAAGGCCCAATCTCCCCAATCCCTGAATCCCCAACAATCCTCAAATTCTTAATCATCAAAAGGCCGGTACGCACTTGTAACGCCTCTGGTGTCCGAGGTGTCCATGGGCGACGCCGATTGCTTACCATCAGGTGTTCCGTCCGCTCGATGTCGCGAAGAACCTAACGGGTTACTGGGACTCCGGCTCGACGTGCAGGAGAAGGAACGGAGTGGTTTTTTGTCAGTAAGAGTCTGACACTCCCTCCCGCCTCACCCAGACGAGAGCTTCCTGAAAGCAAAACCAAACATTTTGATCTTACAAAAATATTGGTTCGTACAAGAACGAAAACAGTACAGTGGCATAGTATGCACCTCTGCCTAGTGCCTACCCCTACGGGGATAAAAGGCGTGATGTTATGTGTGTTGTGCACAAAACCAAATCTTAGATAAATATTGTAGCGGTGTAGTTATTGTTAATAAATAGTTCTATATTTTAACCAAATCCTAACATTACGATACGAATCCAATAATACAGAACAAAATCGTATTCCAAGAACGTAACGCGTGTGAGTAATGTACTCTTTGACTTAAGATAACAATGGTATTTAAAAACATACCTAGACACAGTGCTATTTAAGTCTTATATTTATTGTACTTTTTTCCAAAACAGTCTTCTTTACGCTTCTGTCCTAGACTGACGTGTATCGAAATGTATAAATTTGTTATTTTGTGCTCTATTTTTGTTGCTGTAAGTGTCAAAATTGTTTAGACTAGTTTTATTTTAATGCTAATTATAATTTAACAGTTGTTGTGTTTGCTTTATTGTTATTTTGGTTTACTTAAAGCGTGTTTTTTTATTTTGTTTGAACTTGATGGTTATGAAATATCGATAAAAAAGCCAAATAATGTTTTTTAAAATAATAGATTTAACTTTAATTTTGAATATTAATTAAAATGTGCGACTGAACACAATATAAGATATATAGTTAAAGTAAACATTTTTTTTTAAATCGTTGTCTATGTAAAGTAATCGAAATAAAAAAACAACATTTACAAAAATTTGAAAAAAAATTGATAAAACAATAATTTTCATTTCTAGGCATCCAATGCAGATGTTGCACAAACTCTAACTAAAAGAGAAACTAAAGCTTCTCTGGTAAGTTACCTATATTTTAAAGACATTACTTAATTATTTATATGTATATTCAAATGTATTAAAGTTTTTCAGATATTACTATTTTTTTACACCTTTTAAACCTTCCCTGGACTTTCACGAACATTTCAAGAGCAAAATTAGCCAAATTGGTTCAGTCCGCTAAAACTGGAGAACTGAACTCCAATTGGACATGAAGCTTAAATAAATAAATAAGTAGGTAAATGTCAAATAGGCTCACCCCCTATTACATGGGACTCATAACATAAATAGTGAAAAGTGGGTGTTACATTGTACAGTGGCATAATGTGCACCTCTGCCTACCCCTTCGGGGATAGAAGGCGTGATGTTATGTTATATTATGTTATGTAAATGTCAAATCTAAGCCATTTATTCCCGCGCGTTTCATTCGCTCTGCTCGGCTCTTATGGTTGTGGTGCACTGTTTTAAAACCTAAAGCCTTCCTCAATGAATAGACTATTCAACACAAAAATATTTTTACAATAAAATTCGATCTAGTAGTGCCGGAAATTGGCCCGTTCAAACAATCAAACAATAAAAAAAGTGTAAGGTGTTAAATTAACCAAAATTATAACATTATCTTCAGTCCTCTTGGTCCAGTAGTCTTCATCTTACTTACTTTCCTATCATCGAAGAGTAGGGTAAAAGTGTACATACTTTACCTCCATTTCCGGAGGTTTAAGACGCCCGTTTCTCATGCATGAGAGTGCAGGTTCGAAACCTCCCTTATGACAAGTACCAATGCGACTTTTTCCTAGGTATATGTAATATTTAATTAGAAGAGTGAAGTGAAGAAAAACATCGTGGAGGACTCTAGGCTTATAATTTATAATTATAGGGTTGAAATAGTCAACCCACATTAACTCGTCGAGTACCGGTTTAGTAGACACAATTATAGAACAATAGGTTGCGGTCACCGGTGACCGCTTGGTGTTTGACAGTTTAAGCAAGTGCTGTGATTAATGCTCAAACCTTCTCCATGCGAGAAGAACCCTTGGTCAGCAGTGGCCACTTATAGACTGGCGATGTATTTATATTTGTTGTACCTAATAATTTTTTAATTTTAGTTTTGGCCAGCAAAAAACTCACCTATTTGTGTTTAATTTCAGAAACCACTATCAGTATGCTGCGATATTCCAGAATTGGCTGATGAATTTCAATTGGCGAAATGTTCACCTAGACCGCCTGGACCGGTAAGATTACATTCTTTAAAAGTAACAGAAATATATGGGATACAAATACCAACCCGTGAAAGTGGAACATAAATATGTGTAATAACAAATTCTACACGCTTAGCATACACAATACTCATAGAAAATATTGTTGACACACAAAATTAAATATTATGTACCCACATTCGTATAATTATGTGAATTATAAATTATTATGTTTTCGGCTCACTCACGTAATAATTTGACGAGGAACTCGACTAGTTTCAAGCCACGCTAGAGGCTCATATTCATGAGCAGAATTTCGCGACTGACTGTCGCGCTGCTACTCAAAAATAAGCTCATACCGAAATGCTCAAGCCGAAAACACAACAATTTATTTAGTATGCATCACGAAAGTTATAATACAAATATGTGAAATATGTTATGTATAGAGCCACAATTATAAAAATCTATAGTTATGAACAACTTTTATTCCAGTGTGAAGATGTCCAATGCATCTTCGAAGTGTCAGGCTTCTTGACAGACCGGAATACATTGAACAAGGCCGCATATAGAAGCCATTTGCAGAAATGGGAGAAGAATCATCCTGGCTGGACTGATTCCATTTACAAAGCTATCACTGATTGTGTGGACAATGACCCTAGACAGCACCTCGAAGTTCCTTGTAAAGCCTATGATGTATTTACTTGCACTGGTATCGCTATGTTGAAGGTAAGATTTTGGCTTGCCTTGCATATTCGTTTATATTCGAAGGAATGGATTTCATTATGATTATGATTACAATTTATATTCGAAGGGGCAGGATTAGGTATGTTATGGGCCCCTATATATAACAGTACGACTTTACTGAGTCCATAAAACCCAAGGTACAACTCGATTCCATCTTGTATCAAAAATGTGTTGAAAAACTAAACAATTGTTCACTTTATTCATTTTTAAATAACAAATATTCCGAAACTGAATGAAAATCGTCGAATCCCTCACAATTCGAATTCCCTCACAAGACGTCAATTCCCAATTCCCAAAAAGCAGGTAGCGCATTTGTTACGCCTCTGTTGTCCGAGGTGTCAGGCGGCACTGATGCTTACATCTCGTCGGCTCGTTTACCTGTTTATAAAAAAAAAAATGTGAATGAGAGAAAACTTAATATTTTTGAATTTCTACTAACTTTTAAGTATACCTAATTGTAGTAAAATGTTTTTTATTCTATTTTTTGTTATAGAAATGTCCGGACACAGCGTGGAAGTGCTAGAACTTAATTTGAGACACTGAGTTACTATTTTTCATCAAGTTTTTAACCATCACCAAGATAAAAATTATTTTATTTTATATGCATCTAATAAAAATACCCTATGCTCGTATTATTTGATACTGTCAAATTATATATAGGCTTAAATCTTAATTTGATGACATTTTATGTCGCTTGTAATTTCAGTTTCATTTGATTGTAGAGGAGAGAACGCAAAGGTTGATGATGATGAATTGGTTTTTTTATATTCTATGTATGGACTACAAGTACAAATAGCAAATACAATAACTTACCAGACGTTAACTAAATAAAATTTTACTAGTAAATTACTTCGAAAATCATAAAATTCCTATAATATGAAAGACATCGAGAATAGGGTTGACGACTAATTTTTATTATAATGTCCGTCTGGTAGGTTATTTTGCAAACATTAGACACGTAATCTTTTATTCTCTTACGGAAACAAATACTTTCGACTATATATTGATTTGAAATAACGCGTGACGTCACTTCTCAGTATGTTTTATATGTAGAAATGACGTAATTACCTCCAACTCCTAAACTTTGATTCATTTTATCTATCTGATACCACAATATAAAAAAATATGTGTCTAATTATTTTTTCATTACCTAAGTGACGTCCTAATTAAATTTTTAATTTTTATAACCCGTCATCATTCCTATTCCTATAATTAGATACAATAAAAACAACTAAAAAGATTTTTACTGTATTGCACACAAAAACGATCTTGGAAGTTACAAACTATATTTACCTACTGTACTTATACCTCTATATTGTATATCTCAAGTGCGTCAAGGAACTATATCCGATAAATAATTACTTCTTTGACATTTAGATAACCATAAAATTTATTATTACAATGTTTGTTTACTGATACGATTTTATTGAGGTCTGGGTGAGCGCTATTAATATAACATTTGCAATAAATCTGTGATAAAAATGACACTTTCTCGGACTGTACATATACATAGGTATTTTGTGGTTATCGTGAATATGTAAGAAAGGCTTGATACTCAAGAACTTACTATATAACACCATAGCTGATACCAGAGCCGTATTACCCAATCCAAACTAGGTAAATGCCTAGGGCGCCAGATTATAAAAGGGTACCGCGCCGCGAGACGCGTGTGGCCAACTGCCTATAGAGTAGTGACGGCACCAAAAAATTAGAGGCGCCTCTTAGGTGCTTGCCCAGGACGCCTTCTAGGTTAAACCGCTTCTGGCTGCTACCTCAATTACCGACAACCTGTGTTAGCCATTTTGCTTTTAACAGTTTTTTATCGACAGGCAAAGGCTAAATGCAAACAAAATCCAGTAGATGGTTGGGAATGGTAAACAATCTTGAAATAAATAATAATTAATCTGCATGGGCTAAATAATCTCATTTTATCCTTATCTTTAAGTAAAACGCTAAACACTATGTCGGTCACCAATAACTAGCGGTTAGCAAATAACTTTCCTTAAACTATTTTCTACTAGCTTTTACCCGCGGCTTCGCTCGCGTCACAAAAGGATAAAAAGTAGCCTATGTGACATATAACTATATACACAGCGCCATCTATACCAATACTTTTGTTTTCCCTCGGGAATATCAAATTTTTTCGGGATAAAAAGTACCCTATTATTTAATCTGGACTTCTAACTTTACGTCTGCAAAAATTCAAAGCAAAGTTTAGTAGTTACGGCGTAAAAGCGGAACAAACTCACTTTCCGACTTATAATATTAGTAAAGATTGGCATTCAAAGTCTTATGAGGTGTGGCTGCAACTCATCAATTTCATGATTGCTATGAATATGACTACAGGCGCAAAATAGAGAGTTGATAATTCCTTGTCTTACTTTTTATGCCAGCAGAGCAGTTATGAATTACGAAGAAAATAGAAACGAACATAACACATGATGCAAGGTCCCTTCAAGCTGAGTTCGGAAAGTGTTTGAACGTCGATTCGATAGAACAAACAGACCGTACTTAGCTTGTAGTCACCTGAAAGTGCTCTGAGAGACCTTGTCGGAAGATTGTCATATAAGTACACAGTACCGCCGTGTTTTAAGGTTAAAGGTTATATTGGAGGTCAATGAAGTACATATTGGTGTTATGTAAGGAGTCAGGATATTAATGTTATGGGATAAGAGTCTAGCCAGAAGATGGGTTACCTACAGGTAAGTGCATCATAATTGCTGGAGTACTAACATTGTAGTAGCGTTGCTAGTTTATTAATTAATAAAACGGGGTCAAGCAAACCAGCTTAGTCTGAAAAAGGACAAGTATGACAATGATGGCTTCATTAAGGTAGAAAGAAAGAAGAAGAAGCCTCTTTGACAAGACCAAACAATGACATGCTGCTGCGTCCAGGACCACCCACGATGCTAATGTATCTGTTTTATTTTGTATTATATATTTTTTTTATTTGTATATTATTTTTTATATAAGCACACAGTTGCATGATATAAAGGAACAATGAATACCTAAATTAAAGTCTTTGAGTCTGCCTCAGTCACATGGCGAAACAAAGCAGGCGTTGTTTTACATCAGTTTTTTTTATCACTTCAGGTGAGCCGGCCTATTCGTGACAAAACATGACTTTCCAATGTATCAACTTCTGTTAGGTGTTAATTCAGTTGTATGAATGAGATATTATTAGTGACAAGGTTAGGAATAAAAAACAAATTTTAAGCAAAGAAAAATTAAAAGACCAAATAGTGTTTTAATAACAGTTGCATTTTCATTCATATCCACGATTGAAAATGGACATTGCATTACCCACAAAATACTTATAGTATATCAATGACGTTATGGGTAAATTAAAATAAGAATACACTAAACTGACCAAAATATATTATAACTAAACGAATATTAAGTTAGAAACATTAATTAATTAAAACAACATCTGCTTTGGAAATGTGGTGAGAGATAAAATGAATAGTTATAAATGCTAGAATTTGTGTATTTTGTGTCCACTTTCAGTGGACATGACTAGCAGTTATTCATTCGTTTCTTCACACGGCTCCTGTACAACTATACTCGGAATTTTAATTCGATTCCAGATTTGACAATTTCGGTGTTGCAACGTTATGACAAATAGTAAATAGTGACGTTGCGAAATTATTGGATATGGAAATGTAATATTTCCTGATGGATTCTTCTCGTTTATAATTTTATTTTCGTAAACTAAGTATATCAGGAAATTAAATATTTCTGAACCGATAATTTAGTTTTGACGATTAATTAACGATCTGAGACATTTCTTTTATAATATAATTGTGTGTGAAATATGAAGGAACATGACAAATAAAACAGATAGATGTATTATGGTAATAATTTAAGTATTTTATAAATTGTCGCCACTTTCTGTAACATTTATTATAAAACACACACACTGATTGTTTATCGATTTTTGTGTTCATCACTACACTATTATATGTGGTATCATTATTTCACAAAATGACAGTAGCTAATGTCAAATCTGGAATCGAATTAAAATTTTGACTATAGTTTAAGCGTTTTTTTTATAAACCATTATATACAATTGAAATTCTTATTCTTACCACATTAAAATCAGTGAGATGTTGTTCTGAAATCAAACGAAATTCTATCTGAGTAACTATCACCTACTTAAAGCAGCATAACTTCTTCCTTACTTAAAAAAATAACATTACACACGTGTTGATGTATACCAAGTACCTACGTTGACATTTATGACAGGATCAACATTTGATAGGTAATCGTCTTCCGAAATAAATATCTTGATCGTCGCTCCTCGAAAGATTCAATGATTTGCAAACAAATTATTACCACTGTGTGGCTCCACGATTTTATAAGATTAGATGCCAATGATCTTGAAAATGAAATTTTGATTAAAATCGATATTTCATCTAAAAATTCCAATGCGAGTTTTAACATAGCTTCACGCCTTTTATTTTTCACAGGTATGGTAAAAGTATCTGTAGGTATAAAGAACCATATTAAAAAACAATTACATAACAAATAATTACCTTTCTCAATTACACACAACTCTATTACAAAGGGGGAAGAATATTAATTTAAACAAACATGAATTCAAACAATTTTTATATGCCAAAATATAATAGTTCACATTTGTAGATAGGTTTACAAACCAATATACAAACCCAATATAAGGACTACAAACAATAGATCATAATAAAAAACAAACATAATACATAGGTACAATAACAAAGTGATTATTAGATACACGTGTGACGTGAGATGTCAATACATCAATTAATTTCAACAGCATGCAACGCCATGGCACTTTATTATACTCTGCCTTATATGTTATTTGTGGCGCATATATTAATAAAACGATCACACTGTATTTTCATAATTAAAACATCACTTCTATTTTCTACAACAGATGGAGACGCATGTAAGTATTTAATGTTATACCGTCGACTTTTATACTTCACATAGTTTGAAATCCTATCGTTATATTAAGGAATAGGCCAAGTCCTATTGGCTAATAGAACATAAATTAATCACATATGCAGGACGCATACATCTGATGTAAGAATCACAGATAATTATCAATTCAATGTCAATCAAAACTAAATATATCGATGCATAATCCTTTGTATGTTGCAGCTCAAGCCAACAATAAAAGGGGAGGTCCAAGAACAGATCCTTGTGACACACCGATTGCGTTATCTCAAGTTCTTCAAAATAAAGTTAATGTGAGTACATGACACAGTATTATCCGTTGGTTCATTGTACCTGTGTAATAATACGTCGTATACACCAACCAAGGTCTTGAGTCTACTTGACACTGATTCACTCACCGTGATCATAGGCCTCCTTGAGGACATCCGACATACTTCCACGGCTATTGTTGTTATTATGTCCGATTTAATGCTAATTAACTGTCGATTTTGTGTGAGTAATTAGCTTTCGATTGTCATAATGATGTTTAAATGGGCTGTGTAAAGACTTATTTACCTCTAGATTTGGATTTGATGCTTACTTCTTTCTTTCTTGTTTCTATCTTTAAAAAATAGATAGAGTATTGAAGCGAATTTGTAAAAGACTTAATAACTAAGTACTGATTCTAACTCTGAATTTAAACTTAGGACCTCGTTATCAATAATGCTTGTGACAAACGAAACAATCAAATACCAT